CTATATATATATATATATATATATATATATATATATAGGACGTTGGTGCTACAAAGTTCATACTACATTCATTTCACTTGTATATTTCTTATTAACCTAATGAGGCTTAAATTTCGAACAACGCCACCGAATTAATTGATATCTTTTGACTCCCATGCCATGAAAAGCTTAATGTATATCTAATTTAGGATCTTGTTCATATTAATTCTTTCAGTTAGTGACAATATATTGGCCTTGACAATATTTGCCTCTGCAACAGGAACACTAATAATGTAACTAACGCCAATAAGTGAACAAATGAAAGAGGAGCGCATAGCTGAAAGGCTAAAAGCTCGGAAAATAGTCAGTGAACCAAATTCAAATTCCTCTTGAGACAGTTTGGATTCAGCTTGCACTAATACCTTCGGAAAAGGGACAACGTCATCTCCATCAGCTATGCCCTAAAATGCGAAGTAGTTTAGGCGCATAAATCTTGTCAACCAACTTAGAAGGCCAACACTTTCAAATAGGCAAGGGTCAGCAATCTTTTGGAGAGGGCGGGCTAGACAGCTAGACAGTGTTTCAGAGGGTCGTGAGATCAGGGTGGGCCGAAAATCTTGTCACCTCTACATAATATAATTTTCTATTTCAGATGGCTGACACAAACTCCTATGGTTTGAAACAGAGGCTTCTTGATCGTGTGAATTCTGGCAAGAGAATGAAGGATAAGCAACATGACTACCCTTGTTCTCATTACGCTTTGCTAGTGGGGGTGACAAGACTTTATCTATCTAGTGTGCTCTCGGGATACCTTTTCATCATGATTCGAGAACTCTTCGACCATACGATCAATAACAAGGAGTCTCGTTTTCTGTAAGTTTCCAATCTTGACACTGACCCCGCTCTATTCCAGCTACTTCCATTCAGTACTTATGGTGTCCACAGCACCAACAACAAAGGAGATGGCGTCCATTCTCTTCATTGGCCAAAATATGTACACACCCCATTTTAAACTATCATAGTTTTTCAGTTTTTCTTCTTTGTCGATTATTATAATTTTATATTGAATGTATCATGGCACCGTTTTATGTAGATGTATAAGTGCTAGGATAAATACTGCCTATCGGGTCACAAGAAGAGCCTCAGAAACACCGCACTTTTCGAAGAATGCTTGTTGTACCCAGTAAGGCACATTTTTGCAGTGTTCGCAAAGTGTACTTTTATTTTTTTTTATAGTCGATCGACAAATTCTTTAAACTTCAATGAGATCGAGCCAAGTGCTCCAATGACTACGGACATGACTTTAATATTTTTCTTTGGCATTTTCCACAATCTGGTATACTCAACCTTCATCTCATGAGAGTTTCTGTTTCCTTCGCTGTTTTATTGTAGTCAGCAGCTATGGCAACATCAATTATTTTAGCATTCATTTTCAGTTGTGGCGAGGACAATTATATCTGGCCTGCTTGTTCAATGAATAACAAATATTTCCTTATAAAGAACTGTCTAATATTACCATTATTATTACTGTTCAGAGTAGTCTGTGATCTTATCTATTTGTCTTTCTGTTATATTGTAGTCAGCAGGTATGGCCACATCAGTTATTTGGCATTCATTTTTAGTTGAATTATTATTATTAGCAGTAGTAGGAGTAGTAGTAGTAGTATCATCATTATCATCATCATCATTAATAGTAGTAGCATTAGTAATAATATTATTATTATTATTATTATTATTATTATTTCAGTTGTATACATATTTCCTTCCTGGTCTCAACCAGAGACCTAAGAACAGAAATGGCTTCATGACATTTTCTACAGATCATTTTTGTAAAACACAGAAAAAAACCCTAAGATCACACACATTTTACATAGATAAAGATATTTGTAAGGTGTGAGCTATACCTGTGAGTATATATATATATATATATATATATATATATATATATATATATATATATATATATATATATATATATAGATATATATATTTCTTTTAAGGCGTGGGCTACCAGGACTCCCTTGAATGCGTCTATTGGAACCGTTTCCAATCAATCCACGGTCTCCAACTCCAACTGGAATTATTGATGTCCTCATGTGTCACATTATTTAGATTTCCACTTCAAGATCCTTGTATTTTGATAATTTTTGAAACTCTTCAAAGATTCATTACAATCTACAGGGGCTGCCATGTCAATAAGAAAGGAGATTCTGTTCTTCTGGTCGGTGATCACGATGTCAAGGCGATTAGTTTTGATTGGTCTGTCTTTCTCCCATAAAATCTCCGTAATCGGGTCTGGGCGACGCTCATACCAGTTTCTTCCTTCCCGTAAATGTTTTTCCAGTGCAGATATTGGCCCCAATCAATTATGCCGAATTTTATATTCAGTTGGTGTTAACACCGTGCAACTTGACGCAAGATGGTCATTTGCTTCTGGATATTTACCACAGAATCTGCATTTCGGGTTAACGCAATTATTCCGTATGTGATCTTCGTAATTTCTATCTATGGTCCTGCGCAGCAATAAAACATTCGGTTTCATATTATTATTATTATTATTATTATTATTATTATTTCCTTTGATTTCTGTTAAATGCACGTTACCATCCGGGTTCCCACCAGAGACCTAAGGTCAGAAATGGTTTCATGTCATCTTCCACTGACTATTTTTCCAAAAAAAAAAAAAAAAAAAAACATTACACACATTTTTACACAGATAAAGCACTTCATAAAGCTGTACTTGTGAGTACATTATTTTGAATTTCTTTAAGGCATGAGCTACCAGGAATCCATTCAATGAGTCTAGCGGAAACTTTTCCAATCAAGCCGAGGGCTCCAACTACAAATGGAATTAATGATGTCCTGTTGTGTCATATATTTGAGATTTCCACTTCAAGATCCTTGTATTTTGATAGTTTTTCAAGATCTTTCGATTTATTGATGTCATCATGTTATTTTTACATTTACATTTCAAGATCAATTGTATTATTATTATTATTATTATTATTATTATTATTATTATTATTATTATGTTATCTCTAATGTTATCTCATAAGACATGCAACATTTTCTCGTTTAAAAGCACCCAAGATACCTGACATTAAACGAAGTTGAGAACTAAATTCCTTCAGATCTCAACATTGGAATGCTTCGCCTACCGCTGTTTTGTAGGAAAGTAGTTGCCTCATGAAAGTATAAATAACGTCGCCTTATACAAAAAAGTAGTCATTATTTTATAGACTTATGGGCATATATATTCACGCGTAGATCTGATACTGATATCTTCATCAGATATCCGCATATAGTTCTTAGCAAATCTAATGCCACCATTCAAATGGTCCCTAGAAATAAAGAAATAAAAGTCGATGATGCGAATCTAATTTTTTAATCTGAATTTAAATTTATTCCTTTACAGAATTTTTTAAAATAACTAATGATATGATATAATTTAGTATTTGAAAATTTATTAATATTATATTGATATAATGAGACTGATTACATTTACATGAAATTAATATATTAATAATTTACTTAAATTTTTTACTGTAACTTTTACTATATAGTTAAAGATGTAGTATTGAATAGATTAATATTAACAGCTTTTTATAAAAGTATTAGTTTTAAATTCTAAGCCCCCTCCATATTATAATAATTTTAAGCTCCTCTCTAAAATGTTTTACGGCCCCTTTTTTTCCGTTCATTCTTCTTCCATGCACAGGTGTTGATAGGTTACATTTATGTCAGTGTCCATTTTCAACCGTCGAATTTATCCGTACCCGACTCCACCACAGCCACCTTAGATCCCTTATCTCTCCATATTTATATAACTCCCTCCTCTATTATAGGCCAATTCTTACTCCTCCTTTAATTCTTTCCTTTTCCTTTTTTACTTCTTTCCTGCCTTTGCCTTTCAAATTTGCTGTGAAGAAAGGTGATATTTTATTCTTTTTAGTAAATGTATTTGCATTGATAAGTCCAGGAAAAAAAATTCTTTCCCATGGACGAAATGGTCATCTGTATGAGGTAAATTGTTGGATCTCATGAATTGTAGTAATTCAATTATATGCTCTATAATAAAAATTATATTGAGCTCTCTTTTGTGGATCAGTTTTAATATTTTTTATTAATAGGATCTACTTGGTTTACTTACCCAGGGATTTTTTTTTTGCATATATATATATGTATTCTCGGACATTCAGACCGGTAAATGTTGTTAATACTGTTTATTATAAACAGAGCATTTACTTAAATATTTGTATCTATAAAAAGAACGAATAAACATAAAAAAATGTCTTAATATATATATATATATATATATATATATATATATATATATATATATATATAGACTGAAGATTGTGTTAAAACTTGAAACAGACTGTCGCTGTTCGGTGTTGAACGCAGGGTTCACTTTTATATTTAAATAGACTCTATCAATGATATTGAGTATTTTTACCCATCAGTATAAGTTAAAATTATATTATCATCATATCTATCTATCCATCTCAGTCTGCTCACATCTATTTATCTATCTATCTATGTCTCTCTTTCTCTCTCTCTCTCTCTCTCTCTCTCTCTCTATATATATATATATATATATATATATATATATATATAATTTAAACAATATATATATATAAATATAATGTTTAACTGAACATATATATTAAACGTTATTTATGTAACGTCATATATATATATATATATATATATATATATATATATATATATAAAGGTAACAAATCCATTGGATCTTAGTAATATAAAATATTGATAAGACAGTCGAATTAATTTTCCCCTGTCGAAATAAGCTTATTCCCCATATGAGGTGATTTGGAATTTTATTTTGTGTTAATATATATATATATATATATATATATATATATATATATATATATATATATATATATATATATATATATAGAGAGAGAGAGAGGGGGGGAATGAAAGAGAAAAAGAGAGAGTGGCAGAAAGAGAGAAAAAGATAAATCGACAATTTGCTGCCTGTGACAAAACAGTTG